CTTTCGGCAAAGTGATTGTCGGGGAAGTGTAGCGGACCCTTAAATAGACCTACAAAATATTTAAGTGTGATATTATGTCAATCTCTGTTGTTCGACTTTTTTTAGATAAAGACTAATGACAATTAATCGTTATTTAACATATCGAATAATAGATACACTAAGTGAGCATTGTTATTGTAATTAATTCTATGCATTGTTTATTTAAATATTAGAAAGATCAAAATCAAATGATGACGATTATCAAGATTTTCAGACTTATTTAACATATGATCAAAAAGATAAAAATAAAATAAAATATATTTTACGACAAATCGATCTTGAAAAACTAACAGATCTAGCTGAATTTATTGTATGATAAAAAAAACATTTGTTTGAATATAATCATTTTTTATTTCTTTAGAAAGAACTTTCATGGTATAAACAATTTGATCATACTAATCTAATGTCACTTAAAGATTGTTTTCTTTTTGATACTAAACTTTACCTTCTTAAACCTTATGCTCCATTTGGTAAGATGTATATTTATTACTATTGTAAATTTATACTTGATAAAGACAGAGCGTCGCGGATAGTATAGGGCTATTGTTTTTACTTCTTGCTGATTCATCATCTTTCGACTGTATACCCTAGCGTTAATAATGATTAGAAATGAACGATTCGTTTTTCTTTAAAAATAAAGGTTCTTGTGCGGATCTTTTAAATACAAATCCATATGGTATACGCGAACAATTAATTGCTCACATTCTATGGCAAACTTTACAAGCTCTTCGTTATCTTCACGACAGACATATCATACATCGGTATATTAAATAAAATTTTTTTAAAAATACTATTTGAATATTTTTCTAGTGCTATTACTTCAAAAAATATATATCTTTGTGATAATGGCCGTGTTTTATTAGATAATTTTTCTCATTGTATATCCATGATATCATCATTTGATGGCAAATTAAAAAGACAAATAAATGATTACACAGCTAAAGCTAAAGATCAACTATTATATTTAGCACCAGAAGTTATTTATCAAGTTTGTTCAAATAAATAATAATAATAAACAAAATTTTATTTTTTTTATCTAGAATACAACTGGATATAATTTAAAAAGTGATATATATAGTTTGGGTACAGTTGCATGTGAACTTGCTAATGGTACTAATATTTATACCAATATGCTACATGAAAATTTAAGTGTAAGAATACCTATTTGTCTTAATATACTGATAGCATAAATATTTCAAGTGAATTTTGTTTTCTCTTTCGTATTGCAAAAGATATAGACTAGATACAAATAATAAGAAATATCTATATTATGTTTAGATGTTATATGCAAAAATTCAAGGTTCAGAACCGATTTTACTTGATCAAACTCAATTAACAAATGAAAGTAGGACAAACATAAACTTAATGCTCAGTAACAATTTTTTTTTCTTATAATTTAGTCATTACATTTAATAATAATAATACATCATATATCGAAGAAATAAAAAAACGAAAACATACAAAAGAATTTCATTCATTTATTAAATCTTGTGTAACCACACGTCTTGAACTAAGGTAAAAAAAATTTGGTAGTCTTACTTGGAAAATTATTTTTATTATTAGATGTTCATCCGATGAATTGCATAATCATTCATTTTTTAAATATCACAAAAAATTAAATCATAATCAACATTTACTTTATAATGAAATGGTAAAATTACTTGAAATTTATAAGAAACAAGATTCAATTAATACTGAAATGAAAAATGTTGAGGAAATATTTGGTAAATAGATTAAAATATTTCGAATGTAATAAAATTCTTATTTCTAGTTAATTCGACAAGTGAACAAATGACATCATGGGAATTTTGATACTCCTTATCTTTAAAAACATAGTCAAATGCATGTTCAGATGTAAACTTATTTTTTTAAAATGATTTTGTTTATCATTATTCAGATATATTCATAAACATCGATATTTTAGAAGATTTCTTTACGAATTGTATTGATCATATTATTTACATTGTAGATAAAATTTAATATTTAAATTTTCATTTTTCATATGAATAAATTACACCTTTACTCTTCTTAATTTTGAGGCACAAACAATCTGTTCTCCTATCTAAAGCTCTATTTTTTTTAGAACTTTTCTCAAATGTCTTCTATGGATATTAAGTGGAAGTTCAAAATTGATTAGAATATAGAAGTGATCATTGGTTTTGATACTTCTAATGGTTACATATATCCAGTAAACGTTCAAAGAATATATCTATAATTGTACAAGATAAAATAAATGTTGCTAGTGAGAGACAATAATTACCTCTTATAATGGCTATATAATACTACAAAAAATTGAACAATGACTATAGACAAAAAAAGCATAACGATTTTCTTTAACAAAAGTCGTTAATGTCAGAATAAATATTATGATATATGTAATAATGATTTCATAATTGGTAATAATTCATTTGTACCTGATGTTGCTAATAATTTTCGGCAACTAATTCGAAGGTCTCTTTCAACTGTTTGCCATGATATAAAATGAGCAACAAGTGCTTTAAATATTTTTACAGCATTTTCTAATCCATGTGCGCTTTCCATATATCTCCATAATAATTCTGTATAATAACTTTGTGCACGATAAACAGCCATACCATCATTGAGAATAGGTTCATTAGCATCAGAATCTGTTGAAAAACCTTTTGTTAGTATGAGTACAATAAGTACTAATTGAATTATTCGTTGGTCATATTTTGCAATACCCAAAAATGAATTAAACACTTTTTGAACACGTAAAAATATCGCTGTTCCATGAACTTGTTGTATAGAAGATGGATCCCAAGGTACATCTGAATCAGTTTCAACTACTTGCTTCGTTTCTGCGTTGTATGATAATGTATTATTGAGAATAACTAATGGCATGAGATTATATTTAATTAAAGTGACTTTATCATCAACATTTAATTCATTAAATTCAGGTATTTGTCTAAAAAATGATAAAAGTCGCATGGCTGGAACTGAACGAGAATTTATATGTTGTAAAAAAGTTGTAGCATAAATAGATGGATTCCAAGGAAGACCATCACGAGCGGCTAGACAATGGATAAAATTCGTTATTATAAAGATGAACAATGTAACTTGCCTAATTCAATACGTTGTTCGTATGAATTCTGAATAGTTTCTACACGTTGTAAATCTTCTGTGCTAAGTAAAGCACGTGGTGGTTGTGGTAGAAATTCAGCAAAATCTGTTAAACGAAAAAGATTTGTCACTTCAGATGTTGATAGATCCTGAAAAAAAAATAAACCAATTTGAATATAACAAATTCCAAATTATTCTACTTGATCGAGAAATGTCGATGATATAATATGAGATCTGTCATCGAATGTATCGTGATGAATTTGCAATGATAAAGATCGATTTTCTTCTATTTCACGACGTTTTGCTGCTTTTTCTTCCGACTAAATAATTCAAATATTATTAATAATTTACTTGATTTTAAATTAATACCGTTTGTAATCGATCACGTTTCATACCATTACTAAGACATTTTGATAAACGACATGCTGAACAACGACGTCGTGTTTCCAGTGTTATTTCACAACCACCTTTACGTCGACATTGAAATGATTCCTATATAACATATTAAATTTCTAATAAAATAAAAATAGCGAAACCTACTGGATTCTTAAGAGCATTACGACGAAAAAATGCTTTACAACTTTCACATGTAATGGCATCAAAATTATATCCAAGTGCTGGTGAACCACAGACAACACAAGTTAATGAACCATGTTTTATTTTCTTCTGATTTGATGATTGTGCTTCACTTTTAATCTGTAAAAGAAATAGTTAAATAAAGTATTTCTTTACTTTGTTTATTAATTACCGCCGAATACATAAGTTCCTGATGATGATTTTCATCTTCTTTCGATTCGATTATAAATGATTTAATGGATGATGAATTATTACTATTTTGAATTTGTTCAATAATACTTTCATCACCAGTTATAATCATGATTCGACGTCGTTTTGAATTTGAGCTTGATAATACTTCAGATGTCATTATGGAAAAATATTTTCTAAAAATAAAAAACATATTAAGCCTCGAAGAAAAAAAAACTAAAGTTCCTAGTCAAGGCTGAAGCCATAGAATTAAAAAAAATATTTTTCATTGTCAAATCTAATATTTCAGATGGTTAAAATAAGAACTCTATATCAATGACGTTACTTAACAATATTTTAATTCATCGGACATATATTTATATATTGAGTCATGAACGATAATGCTTATTCGATAAAATATCCTTTGGTTTTGTTTATCGATGCGTACCAGTAATGTCCTCAAGTTACCTTCACTATTTTTTCTTTCATTCTCTATTATATAACGATATTTGTTTTTCTTTCTGAATGTCGTGCATATATCCAATTGTGAATATATTATGATGAATGAGCAGTTTCTTTGTTTGAGAATAGATGACAGTAGTACAAGTTAAATATACGAACTAACTAGTGAATTTTATTATTTATTGAAAGAATAAAATATTATCGGACAATTATTTATATGATTATACTTTGCAATGTAATTTTTTTCTAAATGATAGAAAAGCGAGTACAAATCTTTGGTCCAGGAATGAGAGATATGTATGTTTGTATAGAAAAATTTTCTCTATCGAATGATATATATACTATCAAACTTTGTTGAGTACCGTAAAAATCGATTTTGGCTTGAATTCAAGCCAATTAAAAACCTGTATCGTAGTCAACTAAATCTCTTGCCTATAATTCATTTTTTACATTAAATTTTTTTTGAGGTGAAGGTTTTGTTCCCTGATGTTTTCTCTACAAACTGGTGTATTAGGAGGGCTCAAATCAATGTTTTATTGAGATTCCCGGACACAAAAGAAAGTTAGATGCATGTCTCTAACTGGCTCGAATTCAAGCCAAAAATCGATTTTTACAGTACTTAACAGAATTCGATAAAGAAAATTTTCCTCTACCAACCTACATGTCTCATTCCTAGGTAAGATTTTACTATGAAATTTGTAGTCGCCTTTATTGTTCTACTAGATTATATATATAATTTTAATGACGCAAAATGTTTTGTTAATTTATAGAAAAATATCTTTATCAAAAAATTACGGACGCATTTTTTTTTGAAAAAACAAGCCTCTTATGTATCGTTAGACTATAGAACGAGTTAAAGATAAGACATATTGATTGCTAACAAAAACAAAATAACAACTCGTAGTATAGAACATTTGGGTACACACCTGAAGAAATATCATTTCATGAGAACATTCTATAATTAGCCAAGTATTTCAAAGCATTATATTTACGTGGTAAATCTATCAGTTTCACTAACTTATTCATAAGTTTAAAATCTTTTTAATATGCAGTCATATGTCGCATTTTTTTCCTTATATATAACAAAGGTAAGTCATTGCGTACGACTTATTGCTATAAAAGTGCATTGGAAAAAGGAGAGTAAAATGTAATCTTCATTTTCTTATATCGATCCACTAAGCTAAACGAATTGTCCCTCGGGATAAAATATTTCAGTTAACTTAGCTTATTCAATTTAATAAATAAAAGATCAAAATCGCTTACATAAATTATTTTTTCTTCTGTAATGAATATTTAACTAAAAAAAATTTATTTCATATCTAAAAATAAATAAAAACATATCAAATAAGTTTGTGGGTCATGTTTATAGAATTGTTATTTTGTTAAGTACATGTGAACTTTAAAAATAAATACCAATGAGATTCTTTCACGCAAAAGATTTATTTTTATCGAAATAAAATAACTTACATCTGTTCTACTATACCGTGATATCTTAGTAAATACAAATCTAGTCGAGAAAGATGAATTTATTGAGACTAATAATAATTTTCTTTTTTTATCCTAATATGGGGAAATATTTTTTAAAAATAGTGGGATTTTCAGACGATAGTATAGGCAAAATATAAAGATTATGATATGAATACAGCTTCACAGAACAAGAAAAAAATATATAAAATGCTATGTCATATTTTACGACGCAAAAAAAAAGCAACGATGAAGCAAAACATTTTTCTTGTTCTTCATATTATAAAATTTTCTTTCTACACAGTAACATGTGTGAGTCAATGAAAAGAAAAAAAAAAGTATAAACAAGAGCGAAGTATGCATAATATATGATAATGTTTTTCTATTTATGTACTTGAAATAAATAATAGAAATATCGTAGTTTTTTCAAATTTAGTTATCCTATATATTGACAGAGATAGTGGAATCATTATCATTGATTGTTTCATGATATGTCCAAAAAATATCTGAAGTAAATTTTTCTATTTATATTTGTACTTACAAAAGTGTCATTTAAATAATATGCATACAGAAAATATCATACGCAATAAAAAAGAACTAGTTTTATTGGACAATATATGAATCAACAAATTTCTCTTAATGAAAAAAACTGTTCGTGACAGAGTGAATTTACCTTATATACGTAAATATGCAGAATGACATGTAGTTTTCATAATATATCTGATTTTGCTGGCAGAATGAACCGGTGATCGTGACCTCCTTCTTCAAGAACAATATTTAGCAAATTGTATCAATTATTAATAAAAAAGAAAACTACTTCTTCAGTTATTTTTTACCATTCAACAAGTAAAACTTTGTTTTCTACCTCAAAAGGTCATTTACCTTTTTTTCTATTTATTATAATAGACAGGGAATCTATATCGATACTTAATCCTAGGATAACTATAAGGTAATTATGAAACTAGTTCAAACTCCTACCATTCAACAGGTTTTGTATGAAATAAGTTTCTAACAATAGTTGTCTTTATGAATAGAATGGATGTCATTTAAGTGGTCAGTAAAATAAATGAAATGGTCAGTAATTAATTTGATAGGTCCATAATAAAATTTAAACAATCAGTAAATAAAATGGAATGGAAAGTAAAAAAGTATAAATTTGTGTTATGATGGTCTATTTTTCTTTTTTTTACTGACAAAAATCATATTTTTTCACTGCTACTTTCACCAAATCTACTGACCACTTTTGAATTGTTTACTGATTTTTTT